CTTTTTCTCTTTCCCTATTTATTCCTCCGGCGCTCTCTCGGGTGGGACCCGCAACTTCGCGCTCTTTTCATCATCCCCCACGGAGAGCCGGGCTGGAAAGTGACGGCTTTGGAGCCCGTCCCTGCACCGGCGTGGAGGTTTGAAGAAGGGCTTTGGACCGGCCTGTGGTAGCCTGGCTGCCCCTCGGGACCGTCTCCTTGGGGGCGTGTGTGTGTGTGTGTGCGAGAAGGTGTTTTTCGTTTCTCTCGAGTAGTCACTGCGCATGTTGTAAAGTCGCCAGGTAGGATACTGGAGCCCTGGAAACAGATGGTTGACTTCCTGACTTTACTGGATCTTTCCGTTTTTGTTTCTACACTTTTGGAGTTAGTTACACAGTACTTTTGTCCCTCGGGCGGGGACTAGAAAGCTCGGTGGCTTCGTGCTTCCTTTCCTTCTGCCAGCGGTGTTGAGGTGGGTGTAAGTAGTACATCAAGTGTGTTTGCTATCGTTGTGAATCTGTTTTCATGTACGGTCATCTTGTTTTGGAGCGTGTTTGGAATAGTGGAAGTTTGTTGCTATCCTGCAAGAATGAAGCTGAATGTTCTTTTTAAAAGAACTCTTATCAGCATCTTTGCTGGATTCATGGGAGTGCTATAAACTTGTCCTGCTTCTGGGCTCACTGGAGGTATGCTTATGTTCAGGTGTACTGTGCAGCAAAGGGATTATTTGTTTTTGGTTATTGAATACTTTGGCAAGAATGTGCTTCGTCAGTTGTATTAAAAAAGAATTAAAATTATGAGGCTGTTGGAGCCTTCAGACAGAACATGTACAGTACAGCTTAGTTCTACACATATTTATTTAGAACTACTGTACATTCCCAGCTACATCATGAATGTACAGTGGTGCCTCGCTTAACAATTTTAATTGGTTCCAAAAAAAACATTGCTATGTGAAAACATTGTTAAGCGAAACACCATTTCCCATAGAGGTGCATTGAAAACTGGATAATCCGTTCCAATTGGAACGGATTACCATCCTTAAGCGAAAATCCCCATAGGAAAAAACGTTAAGCGAAACCCATTGAAATGCATTGAAGCCTATTTCAGTGGGGGGGAAAATTCACAAAAAATTCAAAAAGACTCAGAACAAAGCCAAATTAAGTTAACGAAGGTTTTATTAGGTGCACTAACGATTCCAAGCATTTTAAACATTTTTTAAACATTTTAGAATATTTTAAAAATAGCAAAAACGGGGCTGTAAAAAAAAAAGTTAAGCGAAACAAGGGGACCTAAAACTGTCATCGTTAAGTGAAGCATGGTCCCAAAATCGTTAAGCGAAAATCGCCCATAGGGAAAATCGTTAAGTGAAGCACAAGATCACTCCGAAAAAGCCATTGTTAAGTGAATTTTTCATTATACGAAGCAATCGTTAAGCGAGGCACCACTGTATTTCAAAAGGAGAAGAAGCAAAGGAGATAGTATTGCTAGATAAAAGAGCTGCAAAGTAACAAATAATAGATTTGTAACAAATAATAGCATGGCATGAAGTGGTATATACAGCCCACTTTGTGAAAGAAAGGGGTTATATCGTATATTTGACTGAGGATGGGATAGTACATAGGTTGACCATGGGTAATGCTTTATATGTTTTTAATGTATTTTTATCAGTTTTATAGTTTTATTGTTTTTAATGTATAATTTATTGTGTTTCTGATTCTATTCTTTTTAATATTGTGAGCTGCTGTGAGTCTCCTTATCAGAAGAAGTGTGATTAATAAATAAATAAATAAATAAATGGCATGCAATATTAATAGTAAAGTGAGAATAAACTTAAATGCAGAATTATTAGTGGTGACAGTTGCATTAACAAAAGCATCCAGGCACTAGGTGTTATCTGATGCTGTAGCAGCCTAGCAGAGCAGTTATCATACTGCTTACATTTTGACTTTGCCTCCAGTTAAAAAGAAATTTAAAGTTTTCAAACTGAACGTTGTCTCTGAAATGCCTGAGTGCAGAGATAACTTGTCACAGAACGCCCCTAAAAACATATAGAAAACCATTAATACACTGAGCAGTCTATTAATACATATCATCCAAGATCGTATTAGTTATGCTTACCAGCATAAGAAATTCAGCATAAATCTCAGTGCCAAATTACTGCAAGTTAAGTTAGCATAGGTACTTCTTGTTGCACAGTGAGCTATGTGACTCAAGGCCTGAGGCAGATGTTCCCTAGTTATACCTCAGTTAGATTGTTGTACAAATTTCTGGCTACACGATGCACTGTCATTATCAAATCATTGTCCTGGCCAGTGGTGTAACTTATTTGTTTCCCCCTTGCTGAGAGGGTTATGTTATTTTGTTCCAATGACGCATCGGAACATTCCTTACCAATATTGCATATGTAAATGTCAATCCGGCTGGGGGAAACACAGATGGGAGAACAGCCAGGACCAAGACATGGCCAAGAAGTATGCCCACCCTGCAGGGCTTGGTTGGTACACCTGGCCTTTGCTGGTGGGGGGATGAAAGCATGTGTTAGGATAGTCATGGTGAACTTTTTTGAGCCCGAATGCCCAAACTACAACACAAAACCGACTTATTTATTTCAAAGTGCCTACACTAGGCTTAATGGGCAGAATCTTACCCAACTGTAGGGCACAGATAAGAGCACTGGATGGGAAGTGCAGACAAAACATAGTTCGGACTCCCATATGACAATAAGTGTGCGATATGGCCAATCACACATGTGACAACAAAACTGGGAATCCATTATGTAGAATAGGATGAGAACCTTCTTGCCCTTCAGGCCCTATCCTACAGCACAATTGGCCAAGTTATAATGCAGCAAAGTTGCCCAGCCATTTAAGAGGAGATCTGGACAGAAAGCTGAGTCTGTCTGCCTGTAACACCCTGACTAGAGTACTCAACGGTTGATAAGAAACTATTCAAAGTGGAAAGACATTGAATTGGGCAGCAGGACCTGAAAGGGGATTGAGAGAGCAGGTGGGTGGGCACCTCTGTGTGTAGCTGTCATCCTAAGATAACCAAAGAGCAACCACATCAATGTAGAAAGATTGAGAAAGGGAAGAAGTGAGAAGATGCTATGAAAAACGCACAGCAAACGAAGGAGGACATGGTATGTATAAAATGACAGACAGCGAAAAAACATTGAATGGTGAAGAAAGATGGGGAGGCTGGCAAAAGAAAGGCCATGGGTCTGAAGGAATGGAGTGATGGGAATCTCCCCCAGAGGGCACAGAGGGGGTGGTTGGATGAGGAGAGGGGGCTGTGCCCAGCTGCTATTTTCTCCCTCCCTCAGACGCATTCTCTGCCCCTCCATTCCTTCAGACCCCTCCTCTCTCTACTCAATTCCCCCCCCCTTTTGAGAGGAGGGGAGTCAGGAGCCCTACATCTGTGAAGGGAGAAGGTGCTCCCCTCCAAACAGGATCCCCTCATCTAGGGCAATAGGCACTGCTGCCCTCCTCTCAGCCACTATTGAGGCCTCAGACCACAACATAGCAGTTCCAACCGTCCCACCCTCTGCCCTCCTCCCTTAAAGAAACAGCCTCCACATTCCACTCAGCGCTTGCCGCTCTCACTACCTTCCCTTATGCTTGCCTCTCACTTATTCCCTATGCTGGTTGAGGAGCGGAAGTGATGTCCTCAGTGGACCCTGCCTACTCTGAGGGTCACGTGAGAGCTCCCACAGAACTGCATGAGCAGCCCAGAGGAGGGGTTTCTCTGTAGGCATTGCTATGGCGTCTCCTTGTTCAAGGAGGTAGTATTCTTTGCTTTTTGCTCTAGCCGTACGACTTGCATGCCCACAGCGAGGGCTCTGCACGTGTGCCATAGGTTCACCATCTCTGGGTTAGGGGCGTTATCTTTTTTTAGTCTAAGGAAAAATAAAGTAATGGGCTGCAATGCCCCAGGAGATGAAAGAAAATATATCAGTTCAATGGTGTAGCCAGCCATAATGTTTCAAATAGGAAGAAGTGAATCGGTAATATTAAACCGAATGGGAATGTTAATCCAGGTATATATACCATGTGACTACAATTCAGTACAACAGAGGTATGATTAGAAGTGAAGAACATTTGTCTTGTGCGATTAGGCCCTCAGTTTGAAACAGCAAGTGTCTATGCTGATTTCATAACTTGTGGCAACTTGATAACAAGATTTGCGCCAACTGCATGACACTGGTGTGAAAACACAATAGAATTTTGTCCAGTGTGTGCTTTATTTGTGTCAGAAGCTCTACAGCTCAGTCTTCTCTTGGGGTCAATGATTTCAGCCATCCAGCCTGTGATG